CACTGAGGAACTTAATAACCACTCCTCCACAAAGTCCAGATCATGCCCCAGAGCAGTATCCATGTCCAGGATCTTCCAGGTAGAGGAATGAGCAGTTAAGGGTGTAAGAAAACGACTAGGCTGAGTGTTAGAAAGTGTTATTAAATTAAAAGTGTAGTTAATAAGTTATATTAGTTGTTTAGGTTGTATGTGATAGTTTACTGACTGAAAAACCATCCGATTGATAGTTGCTCGCCGTTTTGGCAGCCATCAACTAGATTCCTTTTTTCAAGACCTTTTACCCATCTACAGTGCATCCGGAAAGTATTCACAGCACTTCACTTATTCCACATTTTGTTATGTTACAGCCTTATTCCAAAATTGATTAAATTAATTATTTTCCTCAAAATTCTACAAACATACCCCATAATGACAAGGTGAAAGAATTTTGTTTGAAATCTTTGCAAAGTTATTAAAAAAAAAAAACAGGAAAAAATCACATGTACATAAGTATTGCCATGACACTCAAAATAGAGCTCAGGTGCATCCTGTTTCCACTGATCATCCTTGAGATGTTTCTACAACTTGATTGGAGTCGACCTGTGGTAAATTCAGTTGATTGGACAGGATTTGGAAAGGCACACAACTGTCTATATAAGGTCCCACAGTTAACAGTGCATGTCAGAGCACAAACCAAGCCATAAAGTCCAAGGAATTGCCTGTAGAGCGCCAAGACAAGATTGTATCAAGGCACAGGTCTCGGGAAGGATAGAGAAACATTTCTGCTGCATTAAAGGTTTGCAGAAGCATGTGGTCTACGTTAATCTTAGTGGAAGAAGTTTGAAACAACCAGGGCTGCGTTTCCCAAAAGCATTGTAAGCTTAAGTTGATTGTAGCTCCATTGGTTTCAATGGGTCTACGATGTACCTAAGTTTATGATGCTTTTGGGAAATGCAGCCCAGGACTCTTCCTAGAGCTGATGGCCTTCTGGCCAAACTGAGCAATCGATGGGGAAGGGCTTTGGTTAGACTGGTGACCAAGAACCTGATGGTCACTCTAGTTGAACTCTATGATCATATGTGGAGACAGGAGAACCCTACAGAAGGACAAACATCACTGCAACACTCCACTGATCTGGGCTTTATGGTGATGTGGCAGGACTCAATCCTTTCTTCAGTGAAGACCCATGAAAACACACTTGG